AGGTCTACACTAAAGCCCCTCCCATTGGTTAGGAAGTTCTCTGATGGTATTTAGATAAAGGAAATTTACCACTATTGGAGCACATGCTAATAAATACAGTGCAGTTTCCAAATGTGCAAATGTGACCTTGTTTCATACATAAATGCAATTATGGAAGAAGTAGGAAGAGTTAACAAGGAGTTGACAAACAGGGATTGCATCTACAAAATAATTTTAAAAATTGAGAGCTCCTCTTGTCCTCCCCCCACACCCAATACTGGAGAAAGAGAATAGGAGAGAAGAGAGAAGGCTGTGGTGCTACAGAAGCGCTGCACCTGCCACTGCTGAAGGGGAATGGGATAGGGGGCGGGGTTCCTCCTGAGTGGGATTGCTTTGGTTTCCCTTACTCTCCCAAGCACTAATTTGGATGGGGAGTGTGGGGTTTTGTGAGAGAAGGATTTAAGTTTCTTCCCCACCTCCATTTTCTGTCAGGACCCCACCCCACATCTAGAAACAGGATGGTGGAGATTTTTTATTTTTTTTTAACCACCCCTCCCTCCCACAACCAGAGTAGGGGAATGGATTGAAGTGTGGGTGACCTTAAACCTTCCTCTTCTGAAATGCTGTGGCCTTACTTTGCTGTAGGCCTTGTGTGTTTGTAGAGGAGTAGGGAAAACAATAGTACGAAGGTGGCTTTCACCCAGGTGGGTTTGTATGACATTACAAGCTACAGTAGTTTTCAGTGCAGGATGGTCTGTTATGTTTTCTGAAACCTGTTAGGGTATTTCAGCATGAGAAACTTGGATTTTAGAAACCACAATAAGAAACAATGTTGTGTTCTATGGTTTCCACCCTTCACCATGGTTTCTCTGATCATCCAAATGTGTCACCTTGGCTTTCATGGTCCCAAAATGCAGCTGCTAGAGAGTCCCCTGGAAAGAGTGACAGCCACTGCAGGAACAGCTCCAGCTATCAGCATGGGATTTGATTGCAGGTGTAGTGGTGGATGGAATACATGCCAACAGCAGGAGCACTTCGTGAGGAGCATGGAAACCATTCTAGCATAGAAAATGCTTGATTGTGTGTTAAGAACATATGGGCACATATCTCACACCATGGAAACCATGTCATGAAGTACAAAATCAGCAAGTGAATGAGAAGAAAGTGCAACCTGACTGAGACAGTCATTTCTTGAAGTATTTGAAGAAGAAAGTCTGTGTGCTTGGGAGATGGGATTTGTCTTCCTGTGGACTGGATCTAGCATGTCCAAAATAACATTCTGACAGATATCAACTTTTTTGGTTAATTTATGAAAGAGGTATGGGTGTGGTTCCTTACTATTTATTTAAACATGGCTTTAAATTAAATTCATAACTTCTCTTGGTTTGAGTATTTCTGCTGCTTGACTGTCAATGCCATGTATGTTTACTTGGTAAAATGTTCCACTGAATGCAAAGAAACTGATTCATAGATAAATGTATGTAGGATCGTGGTCTTATTTTCCTCTGTGCATGTTAGATAACTAACACTACTGCTGCTACTCATCCTCCCAGAATTCCCAAACAAGTATGAATGGCTAGAGAATACTAACAGTTGTAGGGTTTATTTCTGTTTAGAAAAGCATAGCTTTATGCTCTAACTTGCTTGAAGGAATGAGTGGACTTTGTTTTGGTTCTCTTGCTATTTATTTAGAGATTAGTTTTTACATGTTTTTTCTTTGGCCAATGATTGCTGCTGCTTTCCTTGGGTTTTTTGAAAACAATTACTGCTCCTGGAAGTGGGGAAGTAATTTCGTTTTAATCCATCTGTGTCTATGAGCCATCTTTGCAGGAAATGTGTGAATTTTTTCTAGTTTGCCCATAGAGAGACTGAGGAGCGGGTATAACTCAGAAGAGCAATTCATTCTCCATGCCTGCACTGATTTTAAAACCCTGTCTACCTGAAGATAACACATTTGTGGTTTGAATACAGGGGAGCTGAGCTGGGGTGTCTACCCTGGAGTGTTCCAGATGATTACAACTTGCTGGTGATACTCTCCCCAAGTAATCCAGACCTGGGTATCTGAGTGGGTCATACTAAATGTGGGGGATGGCGACAGCTTCATCTGGTTTGTTGGTGTTTCTGTGCTGCTGGCTTCCTGAGACACTTTGAAGAGGGGTGACTGTGTTTGACTTTGTGGGTGTTCAAAATTTTCTGCCATGCTTAATCCTAATTAGTCCGGCTTTTTTGGCTTTAGAGCAGGTGTTTAGAGCCAGGTGCATTTTAGATACATTTCTGCATGTCTCTGGAGAGATCATCATCATCATCATCATCATCATGTGTCCCCTTCTGCTGTTAGTGGTTGTTTGTGTGCTCTTTAAGTGGGTCATTTAAATCCTGCCGTTTTCAACAGCGTGGCTCCATTTCTCTAGGTCTTTCTTGTAGCCCTGCTCCAGTTTTCTAAACGTGTAAAGCAAATGTTGAGAAGGGGAGTGCACTGGCCTCATCCCCATAGCCCCCACTTCTTCTGCCCTCTGTGTGTTGAAAGTGACTTTCTGAAGATAAGCACTTACTGCCTAGCAGGTGCTTGATGAAGTCCATACCTCACCCCTCCTTGGAGGCTGAGGAAGAGAGTGCTAATTGTATTGGTTTAAGAACCAGCTACGAGATTCCTATCTGAAGCTATTAAATGTCATCCTTCATCCCTTCATTGAGCTAGAGCTCAAGGGAAAGTAGGGAGACCCAAGTAATACCTGGCAAGGTGGCATTCCATGGCAGAGTGTGGCGAAACTGCAGTTCCTGACAGAGCCATCTTAATATCCTGCTAGACAAATGCAGGTAATTGGGCCGGCCCAACCATTTGGCAGAGTGAGGCAGCTGCCTCGGGCAGTAGAAGTCCTTCGACAGAGAAAAGCAACAACCTCTTGTGCCCCAAGCTGCCTTCACATCTGTTCTGCGTATGCCCTGTGTGCAGTCTTGAAGTCAGAGTCACCTGATCAGTTTCCACAGACCGAATGGGGCACTGCAGGTGGGAACTTGCCTGTTGTCTCTGACAGCAAAATATATTGGGCCACCCCTGAACTGAAATGACAAGATGAGAAATAGAAGCTGATATATATTTTTTATTTGGGAAATTATTACCACAAGGCATCTAAACAGTGGGAACGAGGCACTTGATCTGCTCATTTTCTATGAGCGTGTTCCTTCCATGGTGAGCAAACCCAAACATTTAGGTTTATATTTTTAAACAACCATTCCCAACATGCTATGCTTTATTGGCAGGTTAGTTCTTATGTGGGTCTTTTTTAAAAGTTGAAAGAAATACATTTTGTATAGGAACACAAATTTTGGTAGAACTAAACAAAACACAGACATGATTAATTCTAACTGGAGATTAGGAAGCTGCCTAAAATGATGAGCTATTTTGACATGAACCTCATTTTCGTAGGCTCTCTTGTCTTTGACACCAGCCCACTACTAAACAAATAATAATATCCAATAAATAATGCCATTTTCTTCATTGCTATGGTGCCAATAATGTATTTCTAAACCTATCTTCTGATAGATGCTCTTTTTACCTCACAAATGATTATTCATCTTGAGAAATGCATATAAATAAATCCATAGTTCTGGTTTCTTTAGAATGTTAATGGCCAAGATTAATTTTAACTGGCAGAGGAATTTATTCAGCTCAGTGTTTATCTGTAACCTAATGGAAGGTTTTCCGCTGCAGATTTGACAACCTGTATGATTGGTAGCTCCCTTGTACCAGTGGCAGAGCCAGATGGAAAAGGCTTAACATCTTTCTGACAAACAACTAACTAACATACTGTCCCCTGATGATGACTTTTGTGTACATGCCATCTCTTCTGCAAACACCACTCAGTTTTTCTTTAAAATGTCAGCAGCTGGAATATGAGGACAAGCTGGTGACTAATAAGTCTGAATTAATTGCTGCTGTTAATTTTAATTGGGATTCAAAATGATCCAGTTTGGCATACATTTAAACTACTAATTAAAGTTCACTCTCTGTGTATGTGTAGTATATGAAGCAATTACAAGACAGAATCTCTTTGAGTTAAGGTGTCCAAGAAGACAGGGGTTACAGTAGTTCGTTGTCATAATCAGCACTGTACCTTTCACTTCATTGACTTTTTATAGGATGTGTCTCACAATCCATTCCTAGGCTTCTGGGCAAGCCCATTCATGTAATGTTGCCTGATCATCATATTTCATAACTTTGAGCCGATTTAGCTGTTCACACTTCCCATCATATTATCTTGTCTGTTCACATGGCTTGTTTTAGGATTATATTCCTAGAAGTTGTTGAAATATGGGTTATTGGGTTGTCTGAACCCATCTGAGCTAGCAAACTATGGAGAACAACCCACAGTTCACAATCCCACAGCAAGGTTCTCTTTAAGAGTTTTTCTTGGTTAAAAGGCTATGATTTGCTAGTGCGACTGGGATCAGACAAATGGTCAACAGGAACTCATACAGGAACTCATACCCAGCCCTTAAGTGTGGGATATCAAGTTGGCTAAATGAAATCAATGTATAGTTGCTGTAAAAATGTGCATATATAAATATAATGTAAGGATGGCAGAGGGAAGCCCCCCACCCACCCCAATGCTACACCTCCTTCCTTGGGGGGGGGTAAATTACACTGTGTTCCTGTGGATCCCTTCGGCCCTGTGAACCTCACCAACTCTGGCTGCAACGTGTTTTTCATCTCTTCTTTCTTTAAAAATGCTCCTCTTTCAATTTTATACTGAGAATGATTTATAAATGAGTACATTTTTGGTGGACTATAACCCATAACAGCAATGAGTGCTGTAGAAGAGTTCAAGAAAGAGTTGTTTATTTTGGTTATTATTTTTGTTATAACCTTTGCTATATGCCTTTCTTTCTCTTGCAAGGAACTCAAGGTGGCTTACATGGTTCTCCTCCTCTCTATTTTATCCTCACAACAACCCTTTGATGTAGAGGTTAGGCTGAGACTAACCCAGGGAGCTCTAGGGCTGAGTGGGGACTAGAACCCAGATCTCTCGGGTCCCCAGTACAACACACTCACTATTATGCCACACTGCTAAGACAACTCACTTGACTTTCTATCTGTTCCCTCTATTGCTGGACCCCTGTGGTTACTTAAAGAAAGGGTATTTTTCATAGAAATAAAAAAATGAAGCATAAACTGGAAATTAAAACTCCAAAGCTCTGCATGCTTCAGTAAAGGTCAACTCCATCAAAATCAAAAGGGGTTGTTCAGAATAAGCATGTTTATGACAGGGGCATCATTGTAAATAATATCATTATATTATCATTATGATAGTACATTGAATTTTTAATTGCACCATTCTTTTATTTTTGTGCTGCATTCACAAGACCAAACATGCCTGCTTTCCTTATTGATTCTTCTTTTCAAATAGCAAATGAGTCCCACAACAAGTACTTAAGTAAGCCAGGGTCAAGTGACACTGTGAAAAAACTCACCAAAATGCAGGAGCAAGGGAAACAAATAGTCTTTGCATAACAGTATTCCGTATTTTGAAGCAGGAGAACGACTGCAGTGAACCTCCCATATGGCATTTCATTATTTTTTATCTTATTTATTTATTCATTCAGTCGAACATTTTAAAATGGCTCTTCATCCTTGTGGATGTACAAATATAATTAAAACAATTAAAACACCAAAAATACACCATCATAATGAAACCAAGTAGGCAGCAAACACAATAAAAACAGACAGAATCCACTAATTAAAATGCTTGAGTAAACAAAAGAGGGTTTGAGCTGTAGCTGAAACAGTTGCTCATCGGTGCCCATCGGTGCCCATCGACATATGGCAGAAAGACTCTTGCAGTGCCATCTGATTTGCCTCTGCCTAGAGGTAAGTCCTGCTGAGTTCAATGGGACTTACCCCCAGGTAAGTGTATATGGCACTGCATCCTACATCAGCTTTTTAGTGGCATCACTGGAGTTCTTCTGGACAATTTCCAAAAATACTTGTTCCTGTTTTTCTAAAGCTTTGCAGCTTTGGATAAGAGCATTCCTGAAAAATGCATGTCAGTGGAACGTTATCATGCAGCATCAAGCATAGTTTCCTTCCATCTTCTAATATATCATCACCCACAATGCTCTGTAGACATCTCAGTCATATATTGTATATATTACTATGATTGGCAGGTGGGCTGGACAGATCACTGTTCAGAAAAGAGTTTAAGGGAGAAGGCGTTCTGCAAGTATTATTTAATGAGGGGCACGGGAAGATACCAATTAAAATAGCAAATTCTTGAGGCCATTTCATGCATTGAAAGAAGGGAGATAAAATAACCTTTTTATCAGCCTTAACATGACATTAATAGAAGCTAAATATATTAAAATGCAACATGAGACAATGCCCTGAAGTGAACAATGATGATTAAGATCTGTTAGCAACTATGAGAGGAGAACTGTAATGAGTGTAAGATTAAAGATGGAACATATTCCTTAAATCCAAGTCCCCTAGGAAATCAAGTTGTATAAAGTATATTGTGGTGTCCCTCATATGTATAGACAGACTCTCAGGTTCTAGCATTTTTCATTAGCTCTCATGCCTCTTAGAGAAATCATCCCCCATGCAACTTCTCACAAGAAGAGGATAAGCCTAGCAATAACCAAGGAAGGACAAAAAGTGCTCCTTTATTGAAAAAGAAAGTGTTTGTCCTTTTTAAGCATTTTATGACATGCTGCCTCTTCCCAATATGGTTAGAGGGAAAATGCAGTGAAACCAGAAGAATTAGACTCTTGCACAGAGAAGTTCATGCCCTGGTAAGTTGGCTGTGAAAGCTGGACCATAAGGAAGGCTGAGTGCAGAAGAATTGAGGCCTTTGAATTGTGGTGCTGGAGGAGACTCCTGCTAGTCCCTTGGATAGCAAGGCGATCAAACTGGTCAGTCCTAGAGGAGATCAACCCTGACTGCTCTTTAGAAGGCCAGATGCTGAAGAAGAAACTCAAATACTTTGGCCACCTAATGAGAAGGAAGGACTCCCTGGAGAAGAGCCTAATGCTGGGAACAATAGATGGCAAAAGAAGAAGGGGACAGCAGAGGATGAGATGGCTAGATGGAGTCACTGAAGCAGTTGGTGTGAGCTTGAGTGGACTCCGGGGGATAGTGGAGGACAGGAAGGCCTGGAGAAATGTTGTCCATGGGGTCACGATGGGTCAGACACAAGTTTGCGACTAACAACAACAACAACAACAGAGAAGTTCATGTCCTAGTAAGTTTGTTAACTTTTAAGGCGCCCCCTGTTCTTTGTGCTATACAACTACTCAACCTATTTTGTACCTAGTCTTAAGGGGCACATTCTTATTCTTGCCTCCAAACAAACAAATTCTATCATTACTTTTAACTGAGTTTTGAATTTTCTCATCATAAAAGAGAGCTCATCTGACGCCAATATTTCAGTTTTTTCTGTTTTTAAAAAAATGTTACTTGCATCCTTAAATTCCTTAAACTCTTTTCTGAAGTTTGGGATAAACTCCAAGAAGAGTTTGGATCCTATGGGGAAAAGGGGTAGTGGAATCCCAGGCATGTTAGCTGAAAACCTGCAGGGGGAAGGGTGGAGGGAAACCTAGTTGCATCTAGGAGTATGCGGGGTGATGCTGGAATGCCAGGTGGTGAATCGACCAGAATGAACTTGTATTCAATCCATACATGTGGAGAATATCTTTAACACTAGAATGTATTCTACTTTTAGAAAGTCAAAGGAATTGTTTTATGCTGATTTTGCACATTTGCACCTCACCAACCATATAACAGATCTTTTTGTAAAAGGCATTTTTCCAAACATGCACCGTTGTATTTCGTCTGATATAGGCCCATGGGGGGAAATTTCTTAGGAATAATCCAATCACTTATCTCAAGTGAGCTACCAATAAAAAAATCTTGTACAAGAGTCACAATTCCAGCTCAGATATTTAAATTGGATGGATATTGACTCTGAGTCTTATTTTACTTGGGTAACTTGCCATCTGTTAAAATGTTTCATGCCCCAGAGCAAGAGCCTCATGGGAAGCAGGTATGCATCCCCCTCCCCCAACCTGCACAGAGCTTCCCTGCACTTGTGGAAAGGATGAATGCAGGTGGAAAGATTTATTCAAAATGCTCTTGGTCTACCAGTGGGTGTGAGGCAGGCCATGCTCCACATGTAGGCAGGCTACAGGATAGATATTTGCCAACAGGATGGATAAGAGTTTGGCTTGGTTCATTTTTTAAAACAGGAACATTGATAAGAACTCTCCCAACCTTCACAAACATCTTCATAAAAGGGATGCAATGCCTTTGAGGATTGGAGTTTGTGTGTCTGTGTGTGTAACTGGCACGTTTGTCCATGCAGGCACAGCAATCTGAGTGTTTTGCTTTCAAATCTCAGATTCCACCATGTTTTGAAGCCCCTCTTTTTTGTTTCTGTCAGATTCCTCGGCTTTAGGAGGTACATGGATGTCAAGTACAACATGAACCTCTCCTCTCTAGCTGTATTGCCAGAATTTAGCTAGAGCAGATGGCTGAGCATTTCGATTTGGTTTGCTTCTGATAATAATTTACCACCACATTCTCAAATTTATTCACATGTGGAGTGGAAAGGACTTGTTATTTACAGAATCTGAAAGAGGGAGAAAGCAAAACTGATGGATTCATCTTTCCAATCATATTCCGTCATATCTGTTCTGCCACAGTAACCAGAGTTAAATGTCAGGGGCTCAAAAGTTTTTTGTAATGTTAAGGCTGCAGTTCTATCCACATTTACCTGGGAGGAATCCTCACTGAACTCATTGGATTAGGCATGGTAGGTATTGACTGATTGGTAGCTCTTTCTTGATTCTGTGGGTGGTGGTGCATGGCTTTTCTTAGTTGGTGGAGCGATTTATCTGGTTAATTCTGATAACGAATGAAACTCTGGCATGCTAACTAGTTATGCAGCTCCTGAGAGGTTGGCGTCAACTTCTTAGAGGGACAAGTGGTGTTAAACCACCCAAGATTGAACCATAACAGGTCTGTAATGCCCTTAGATGTCCAGGGCCACACACCCACTATACTGACTGGCTCAGCGTGTAGCTACCCTACACCAGCAGGTACAGGTTACCCGTTGAATCCCATTCATAATGGAGATCGCAATTATTCCCCATGAATGAGGAATTCCCAGTAAGTGTGGGTCATAAGCTAGCATTGATTAACTTCCTGGACATGCACATGATAGGCATGTCATGAGCAGAGCCAGCTGAAGCCAGGGGGTCAGACTAGATGGCCCCGTAGACCCCTTCTGACTCGCTCTGTTTCTATGTTTCAAAGTATTCACAGTACCTTTGTATATGCTTTCGTGACTCTGTTCTCACAGAGCTATTACATACAGGTAGTGGTGAAAGCATGCTAGATTCATCTGATCATTGCAATGACATCTTTGAGCAGAAAGAGGTAAAAGTAAAGGTTAAAGAAATAATGAAAATGTGTAGAATCATAGATCATTTGGCTGATGCTCCTGCTCAAGCAAAATGAATAAGTGGCCATCCAATCTGCCCACCATGCATTTAAGGAGGACTGTGAGTGAAAGTTCTCATTTGGTCTGAACTGAATTGAATGAAATGAATTCATGGTCATTTGATAACATAACTTACTGTATTAGGACGTCGGTAACACTCGCTTCTATTAATGAGGTTTATCTGATTGAATGGGAAACAAGAAGAAAGAACAATAAAAAGGATGTCATATGCAGTATTTAGGGAAAACAATGATGAACCACAGAACAAGATTCCACAACCACAGACCTGTAATTCTGTTTTTAAAAAAGCCAGTTCCAAGACATTAGTAATAGTCTGTCAAATTTACAATTCTTTGCAACAAAACAAGCAATAGACACCTACCTGCTGGACAGAAAGGGAGGCATCCTGGTCTACAGGCTCAGAACTTATAATCCAGATGGCCTTAACCTGGAGGATAATTGCTAAACCTTTCTTTTTCTCTCCCTTTTCCTTGACCTCTTTCTCTCAATCCATGCACACACAGAAACAGTGAGATGTTTAGCCTCTTAATACTCCTGAAATGACTATTTAATTTTTGTCGTGCTTTTTCTGGCAATGGAATTGTGTGTTATTGCTTTGTTTTTTTCTGTTGCTGAAAGCTGCTTTGAGCGTGGGTTTGTTCTAACAAAATGGCTTACACATGAATGGAAGATCCTTTACTGAGACCACCTGGCAGATTTGGCTGTAAGGGTGGAAAAGCCTCTGTTGAAACCTTTTTGGTGTCACTGCCTCTTCAAAACCTTGCGCAACATCTGTCTTCCATTGATGCTACACACATGTGCTCTCCCACTCTCCCTTTCTCATTTGGAGTGAGAGGTTTCCATACACTGCAATATTTGTGGGAAAGCATCCAGACCTACAGCTGAAATGGTTCCAATGCTTCCAGCTGAAGCAATTTCTGGTATCTAAGTCTTAAAAGGCCATTCAGTATTTGAAGCCTGCATCTCTGCTATTTGGGCAACTCCAGGAGCTGCTTCCAGATTTATATAACATAATTAACCCTACTGGGCCAACAGGAATCTGGGCAGAATCAGCATGCAAGGGGAATGACGTTTTAGGATTCTTAATCATGTGGCACCCCTTTTCAGACTTCCACACTGCGTGAGCTGATGCTAATGACATTCTGAATGCCTGAGCAGAGCATCATGTAGAAGGGAATACAATAACAAACAAACCAGGTCAGTACTGGGGGATCATCTGCAAATGGTAGTGGAGCTGCTGACTCTAAATTATTTTGGGTATGGAGTTCAGCACCATGGATAGCTCCTTGGTTCTGAGTAAGAACCAGACTCTATAGTTAAGTGGAGTTAGGCATGGAATACTGCCATAAATCTGGTTGACCCACCCAACTCTACTGTGAACCAAAACACAAGTGCTAACATGCAGAACATTTATTATTATTATTATTATTATTATTATTATTATTATTATTATTATTATTGCATTGCATTTATATTCTGCTTTTTCCTTCTTGCACAGCACACAAGGCAGTTTATATGGCTCCATTTTATCCTCAGCACAGCAATACTATTATTATTGTTACTATTATTACATTAAATTTATAGTCCATCTTTTCCTCTCTTGCAAGGAATGCAGGTCAGCTTACACAGACCTCCACTACATTTTACCCACAGAACAACAACTCTGTGAGTGTTAGGCTGAGCCTGGCCTGACATTATCCAGTGAGCAACATGGTCAAGTGGGACTAGAACCAAGATCTCCCAGGTCCCCAGTGCAGCACTCTGGCTACCGCACCACACTGCCTCTAGAGGATAAATTCCTGTTCCCCTTGCCTGACTGTTCTTCACTTCTATGGAAGGAACCAACTTGCTGTGCTTTTATCACATTGTAGAAGTGATCAAATCCAATCAACCCCGGACACCAGGTGGCGCAGCCCCCACTGACTAGTATACCGCAATAAGTATTAATGTGCAGTGGACAGGGCAAAGGAAGAACCCTTGTTCCAATGTGGTCAATGGCTGTGGAAATCTAGATTTAAAGCAAGGCATAGATGAACAACTTCCTCACTGCTATCTGTACACTGATGTGGTACACAATTCTATAGTTCTGTTCTGTTCTATACTTGCTTCCTTAGAGACAGTTGGATGTCGCTAATTTACTGTACATCATAGCAAAGAAGTTCTTATATCATTTTGAGTGATGAGTTCCTTTCAGCCATGGTCAAGTTCCAAGGGAGAAGTTCAAAGGGAAATGCAGTGTGATTATTTTTCAGAAAGGTTTCATCTAAAAGTTTGTTGACAATATTCTAAAGTCATCTGACAAAGTGCTAATTAGAAGAAAGAGCTGCAACCTGCCAAGGATGAGATCTCTCCTGCAACTGGTTGGGAAGCCGCTGAAGAAAGGCATTATGATGAGAAAACTTTTTCATATTGCATTGTATCCAGTGTGCTTTTTAAACTCTTTTAATTGTTACAATGAAGAGGCAGCTGCCTTCCTTGGTTGCTCCTTCCACTTGGGTTCTCTAAGCCTTCCATCTCTGAGGCTAACACATGAGAAAGGGCTTTCTCCCAGATGGCTGAATTGTTGCTTTCTAATTCACACACAGTCTTGATAAACAACTTCACACTGGCCTAATGTGCAGGTTTTCCTATCCCCCTGAAACAGCTTTAAACAGAAGCGGAAACCACCCAAACAAAGGATGCCCGGACTTTTTATAATCAGATATTACTGAATGAACCTATGTCAGGAGTTCCTGGGCAGACTTAAAAAATAACATCCACTTTGAATTCACAGCTGCAGTGCCAAACCCAGACGAGGAAGGAAGGTCAAGAGGGCCATGAAAAAATGATTTTCCTGATATTAGTTTACAAGATGACCATAAAATTTAATCTGCAAATGTTACCTTGCTGAATGATTCTTAGGTGGAAGTATTGGGTACCTCTTTATACAAAGCCACCATGTGGTCAAAATTGAATATATCTTTTAAAACAGCATAATTCCTGATTGAATGCACAGTTCCCCTATATCCCATGAAGCCACTAGGAGCATTCATTGAGGGGTCTGGAGCCAAGTGCCATCAGTACACTGATGACACACAGCTCTATCTTGCTTGGACAACTGAGAGCCCACTATTGGGCCTATGCTGTGGCGGTGAAGGCGGCGAAAAAGAAGTTTTTTTTTCCGCTTCCATTGCCTCCTCACAATGCCGTCCAGCGGAGCTTTTTCGAGTGGTACAAGGCCTGGTTCACCTGGGTCCTAAGGAAGATCCGGTGCCACCCTCAAAGGCCCGCTGTGATGACTTTGCCAGGCATTTCAGGGAGAAAATCGTTCAGATTCGTCATTAGCTGGACTCCACTAATGAATCAGAGGTCTCTGGGGAGACGCCAATGCTACCGTCTGGTCCAAAATTATTGGAGGGATTTCAATTATTGCGGCCCGATGATGTGGACAAGGTGCTTGGACGAGTACGTCCCACCACTTGCCTATTGGATCCTTGCCCATCTTGGTTAATAAATAACTCCAAGCACGGGATTGGGACCTGGATCTTGGAAGTGGTTAACGCTTCTCTGAGGGAGGGTCGAGTGCCTGCCCCTTTAAAGGAGGCGGTAATATGACCGGTCCTGAAGAAAGCATCACTGGATCCAGAGATGGCCACTAACTATAGACCTGTGGCCAACATCCCATTTCTGGGCAAGGTGTTGGAGCGAGTGGTGGCGGGACAACTCCAGGCACTCTTGGATGAAACTGATTATCTGGATCCTTTTCAGTCCGGCTTCAGACCCGGGTACAGTACTGAATCTGCCTTGGTCGCCCTGTATGATGACCTGTGCAGGGAGAAGGACAGGGGGGAGTGCACCCCTGTTGGTTCTTCTGGACCTCTTGGCAGCTTTCGATACCATTGACCATGGTATCCTTCTGGATAGGCTAGTGGGATTGGGGGTTGGAGGCACTGCTTTGCAGTGATTCCGCTCCTATCTCAACGGTCGATTCCAGAAGGTAGTGCTGGGGGACTATGTCTCTGCGCCATGGCAGCTATGCCATGGAGTACCACAGGGCTCCATTCTATCCCCTCTGCTATTTAACATCTATATGAAACCGCTGGGAGAGGTCATCAGGAGGGGTGGGCTGCGGAATCATCAATACGCTGATGATACCCAGCTCTACCTCTCGTTTTCCACTAATCCAGGTTAGGCAGTGGCAGTGCTGAACCAGTGCTTGGCCGAGGTAATGGAATGGATGAGGGCCAACAAACTGAAACTCAATCCAGACAAGACGGAGGTCCTGTTGGTTGGCAGATCGGGCTTCGGAGAGGGTGGATTTGACCTGGTCCTGAATGGTGCAACACTCCCTCTTAGGGATAAGGTCCGCAGCCTATGAGTACTCCTCGACCCAGAGCTTTCTTTGGAAGCTCAGGTGACAGCGGTGGCGAGGAGCGCCTTCCTTCAGCTTTGGCTGATTAATCAGCTGCGCCCGTACCTGGAGTTCGACTGCCTGGCGATGGTGACACACGCGCTGGTG